GCGAGCGGCGACTCCCGAGAGAGTCCGTGCCCCTGGGCAGGGATGCTCCAGTGCTGCGGGCTGGACTGTGGGCTCTCCCCGGCTGCCAGGTGCTCCTGCCGCCTGCCTGCCTTGCTCTCTCTGGGCTGATGTTTGCCGAGACACCGAGGTCTGTCGGCACGCAGGGTACCTCTGTCCTTTCTTCCCTCCACTCGTCTGAATGACCCTGTGTCAGTGGCAGCCTTCTGCTGTCTGTTTGCCCCTTGCCAGGTTACTGATTTATTAAATTGAATTGTGAGCATCAGACATGTTCTCATACGTGTTCTGCCATGTTTTCGATCTCCTTGCAAAATATGTACTCTAGGGCCTGACGGATTCAGGAAGAAATGCAGTCAGGGCTATTAAAAAGGGGTCACTTATTTTTAGATGTGCAGGCTGATGCTAACCTCCCTGCTGCAGGGATGTGTTGGGCAAACATCTGGGTGCCCTTGAGCAGCAGTCCCAAGGGCATGGGCCGAGGGGCAGGTGAGGTCCCCTCTCCGGAGTCATAGCAGTATGGGGAGTACACCAGTGGGGCTGTGCCCCATCCCTAGGCAGCTCCATATCTGCCAGCATCACTCTTGAGGGGCATCTGTCTGGCCCCTTCTCTAACCTACACGGCCAGGTGGCGTGGCAGATTTAGTCCAGTGCTCAGCCCTCCCTGCTGCCCAGCCTCAGGCTGCAGTGCTGCTGGCTCCAGCACACAGGACCAACTCTTCCCACCTCTTCAGCAGGCCTGAAAGGAATGCACTGCTGTACTGACAGGACAAAAGGGTGTGCCAGGCCTCAACTGATTGCTCTCTTTCTGGTGGTGCCCATTTCTTATTATGGCTTTAATCAAAAGTGAAGCTGGATAACTTATAAATGATGCAGAATCATTAGCTATTAATGCATTGGGCAGGGCTTCTCCCTGGAGAGCCCAGCATGGTGTTGGAGCATCTTGGCTTTATAGGAATGTTTTTAATAGTTGGCTTCAGAGAGTACGTTTTTTGGAGCCCGTGCACTTGCAGATCTTTATGGCAACAGCTCTGGCGTGAAACTGCTCTGACCTCAGCTACGGAGCAGGCTGGAGAATGTTAGGCTTAATGTGGGGATCCCATCCAGAGCTTTCTATGGTGTGAGCTGTGCTTCAGAGGGCTTGTCATAACAACTTTCAGTGGGGTCTCATTTTGCATATCCTTGGGATTAAAAATTGCCCCGTGTTTCTAGGGTAAACTTCTCTATTTTTGACTTCCAAAACTCCTTGTCTCTTCCTGCTAGGCGTGCAAATCCCATATGCTTGGAAACGTCTTTTCTGCAGTTTGCTGAACTGCGAATTGACCAAGGGACACTCATCTTTCCAGTGAAGAACTGCAGCCTGGACACATCCAGGTCTCACTGTCACACAGGTTCAGGTCTGCTTGCCTGGAGCCTGCACAAAGTGTGTTTACGATGCATGAGGTCTGAAGCACAGACTAGCCATGCGCGCCGTGGCTCTGCCGTGCCCCCACGTACTCTCACCCTCCCCTCCCTCCATTTGGGACAGTTGGGGATTGGCTCTGGGTGTAATAGCAGATCACGCTGGCTTTGAGTGAACTGTCTTTGCAGTTTGATAGCAGGGTGGTATTGCCCCTGGGATGCCTTTCTGCTGTCAGTGAGTGAAGCGACCTACACAGGGCCTGTGCAAGCTCTGGCTAAGTACAGTTCAAGCAATACTGTCAGCCCCGTGTGGACCCAGCAGCATGACTCGTGGATCTGTGCATTGCTCTTGTTCTCAAATCATAGAGCGACTCGGCCCCAGGGCCATGTCTCGTAGTCCACAGCCTGAAAACCTGGGCTCGCCAGGTTGGGCTCCCTGCAGAAGCCTAGAAAATTCCTTTGCAGAGCAGGGAGCCTGCTACGAGCTCCATCCACACACTTTTGCATTGCAGAGGTGTCAGACCCTTGCCTTTCATTTCCTCACATACGCTTAAAAGTTGGGAAATCCAGCTGCCCCCTTTTGAGCCTGTTCAGGCCTCTTCTCATTCTGTTAGATGTGAACTAATTTATTACTGTAGATGTATCCTGTGAAGCACCAGGTCCTGTTCTTGTCCTGAGGCCAGCTGGCAGGGTCTGGTCACATCCATAGCACTAAGCTCATGAGTTCCAAAGAGGAGAGCACATCGGTGCTGCTTGCTAAGAATGGTTCGTGGCTCGTGCTAACTCCCAAGGTGTGCCCAAGGGTGGTTTGGGTACATACTGGCTGGTTCGGACCAAAGCAGTTCCCAGGACCAGTTTCCACCACTGAATTCCTGGGCTGTTCCTGACCTCCTGACATTTGCTGGTGTAGTGGTAGCCTTGGACAACTGTTCTTACGCCCGAAGGCTAGCAGAAACATTGCAGCCCCCCCCCCCCGCTTTGAAATACTTCTGCCTGAGATGGTGCAAGGGAGTGGTGACAGGGTGCTGTGTACATCTCAGCCCTCAGTTGTGCAACTAACTAGCACACTGGCCATGGCTGGAGTGGAAAACCAGACCGCATCTGTGGGGAACTCGGCTCCTGTGTGGGCAGAACAGACGTGCCACAGTCAGCGGCCAGGTCTGGGGACTGCAGCTTTGTTCAGCCTGTTTTGCTGTTGGCTTGTGGGAGACCAGGGTGTGCAGATAAGGACATGGCTCAGAGACTCCTCTCACAGGTTAGAGTGATGAACCAGATTCCCACCGGCAAAACTCTTGAGGAGACACACTCTTCATGGGATAAAGGTTTGAGTGTATCTTTGAGTCCTTTCTAGTTTACCAGCCTCCCGTTCCGAAAGAGAAGGCACAGCGTCCTGTGATGTCCTTGTTCGTGTCGTCTCCAATGACTCTGTCTCCTGGTGATGCTGCAGGCTTCTGTTGGGGACGGACTCAGCCCCAGTGTCTCACTGAGAACATGTTTTCTGGGCTCTGTCTCCTACCTGTCTTAGTTGCTCGTGGCAGACCACAACCCTGCATTTCTCAGAGTGGGAATCACAGCCTTTTCTGGTTTGATCTGGAGCTGGGTATATTCAAATGTGAATTAATGCATTTAAATAGCTGACCTGCAGAAATTACCTTTCCTTGTCACTCTAACTGTGCTTGGTGGCATTATGGTTGTCTTTTTTTCTTGATCTCAGGTGCCCTCTGGGGCTCTTTTTCTATCTATATAAATTGCAGCATTGAACTTGTTCCACACAAGCAGCTTGTAGAAGGATGCTGTCTTGTTTACAGGGAGAGAGGACACACAAACAGTAGCCTCAGTGTCTGTCTTCATGAGCTCCTGTGTCTAATTTCCAGACAAAATTTGGCTTTGTGTGCAGGTCTGTGTACCTGTATAGGATCCTGCCATGCTCTTAGTGCTGTGAAATCTCAAAACGGTGATGGTGCAGACCATGGGTCAGTCAGGCCAGCTTTCTGAAGGACAGCAACGGCCGAGTGTTGCTGCCAGCTTTGCAGCCGATGGCATTGCACTGCTGGGAAAGTCAGCTCTGCATTTCCTCCCCACTCTAGAGCAAGGAGTAATGCCAGGCAGATGAGATGGCCAGATTGAGTTGCACAGTGTGTTTATTCCAAGTTGCCCCATTTTTCTGTCACAGTTGATATATAAATACTGTGTCTGGGCTGCTTCCTACGCAGCTCTGGGTGGTGTGCCAGGCATTCGTGATGTGCATATCCCCAGGGCAGCCCCAGAGCTTAGAGGAGCCTGATTTTACCATCACAGTCTTGGTAGAAGAATTGCATTAATGTAGGATTTGTTTGGACTTTCTGGACCCTGCAGAAACATGGGACTTCCCTGCCAAGGATCTGCTCTGTGCCCAGGCTGGACAGGAACGTGTCATGCCGGGCAGCCCTGCTTCTACTAGTGCTGGAGCTGAATGACATAAACTTTCCAACAGATGACCATCTGAGCAGCAGTGAAGGTACCTCAGATCTGCAAGCAGATGCCCTCGTGAAGAACTGATGTGAATGTCAGTCTCCTCTGTGTCTGTGACAGCAGGGTCTCTGCAGTGCTCCGAGACAGGCTGCAGGGACTTTTCTTTTCATGTGATTTTGAGCTGCAGGGACTTGTTAAATTGCCATGACAGTCTCTTGAACTCTGATTCTTTTTTGCTCAGGACAGGCCTTCATGCGTTTCCCCTTTCGGTGTCTGCCAGGTGGAAGGAGCCTACTGGGGGCTCTTCGTGTCTTCAGCTGGATCTGGCAGCCTGGGCACATGGTCAGCATTGCTAATCCCTTTTACGTGGAACGTGTGTTATGAGCAATGGGCTATGTCTGCCACTGCAAGCGAGCCCTTTAGAGAAGAGCCAGTCAGATGCCTCACGAGCTTGTCCTCCTTCCCCGCTGTAGGACACTGCAGAGGGTGAGGTGTGCAGTGAGCACATCTCTCGCCAACAGCCAGGCAGGGAGGAGTCCTGGCCAGCGAGCAGAGACTGCCAAAGCCGGCGGGTGCCACAGAAGGGTAGCTGCCCAGGCAGGGAGTAGCTGTGTGCCTGCCCACCTCCCCCCCACAGCCCAGGAAGCACCATGCCTTGCGTGTGTTGTTGCTGGCAGGGGCTCAGCCTTGTGCAGCTGCTGTGCCACTCCTCTCCTGGGGACAGCTTCACCAGAGAAGCTGCTCCCTGTAGCCCTGGCCAATGTGCTGCCATGGACAGATGTTGGAGCGGCCCCCATGGTGGTGTGCAGGGGCGAGTGCCTGTTCTGAGACATCTTCTTTTGCCTCTTTCCTGTGCCTTGCCTCGGTCCATCCCTGGCTCACCCAGACAGGCCACCGTCCCCTGTCAACGTGACTGTGACGCAGCTGAAGGCAAACTCTGCCACAGTCTCCTGGGACGTCCCAGAAGGAGACGTGGTCATCGGCTATGCCATCTTACAGCAGGTATCCAGGCTTCGTCCCCAGGGGGCTGGGGACCCCTCTCACTGATTACCAGCATGCTCCTATGTCAGCCCTTTTGCTGCAATTTGGAGCTCCTCTGGCACCTGCCTGAGGACACCTCTGCCGTTGAGCAGCCCCTGCCAGGGCGCCCTGTCTGAGCCATCCATCCTGGTAGGAGGCAGCAGACCGTGGGCTGCACCTGGGGTAGCTGTCCCTTCAGCATCTTCCCTGTGATTTTTCTGGATAAGGATGGTGCTTCAGCCATGACATAACCCTTCTTTGCTTGCCTTGCTCTGCCTCCACAGCCCCAGATGGCGGTGGCTTTTCCAGGGAGGCACCTGGCTCTCAGGCCGCACAGGGATGCCGCATAGCAAAGTGCTGGCCAGCCTGGCCCGCCCCAGGGGTGGATGATTGCCCGGGAAGGGAGGAGTAAGGGCAGTGTGCCCAGCACAGCCCTGCAGACAGGGGCCTGTGCCTGGCGCAGCGGGTAACAGCCTCCTGGGGATGACAGCTCTTCACTCTGACAGCGGCAAGATGGACAGATGCAGCGCTTCATCCGGGAGGTGAACACCACCAACCGGGCCTGCGTGCTGTGGGACTTGGCGGAGGATGCCGACTACATCATCCAGGTGCAGAGCATCGGCCTGTACGGAGAAAGCCAGGCCAGTAAGCGCGTCCACTTCCGGACCCTGAAGGAGACCGACCGCCTCCCTTCCAACAGCTCCAACCAAGGTGAGGCAGCTCCTTCCAGCTCGCCCAGGTGCTGCTGGTGGGGCCAAGCTGGACGTCTCCACAGCACATGGGCAGGGATCCAGCAGCCAGCAAGGAAGGTGCTGCCCTGAGCAGCAGGCTGCTTGGGACACACAGGGTCATAAGGGGTAGCAGGATTGTACAGGCTGGTGTGGTGTCCGTTGTGGCTCTGACAATGTCCCCAGGCCCTGGTTTACAGCCCTCCTATCCCAGGTCTTGGTGCCCTGTTCACCTAAGCAGGCTGTGGCCACGACAACTGCTGTGGCCTGCTCAGCTGCTGCCCGTAGGAAGCACATGTTGAACAGGCTCCCAGATCTCCCAGCCTGCAAGCTACCAAAGGACAAATGACAGAGCCCCACAGTCTCCTTTCCTACTCGTATCCATGTTATGCCTTCTTGCCTTGGGGTTGCCTGTGTACTGGTCCATGAGAGATGATCCAAGAATCCAAGAGAGATGGTGCCCAGAGGGGGTCCACTAGGCACAGGAGTCTGTCTCCAGCACTAGCCATAAGAGGGTGACTTGAGAAGAGTATAACAGGGCAAGCAGACGGTTTACTTTCCTCAGGACTTTTGTATTCAACTCGGGGCCTTCATAACCTGCCCTGGTCCTTACATAGGGAGTAACCTCAATGACATCTCCCATGCATTGTGCAGTCCCTACTTGAACCCAAACAAGCTGTTAGAATCCCTGACTGCCTGTGGTAGCGAGGATGGCTCATCTGATACAGGAAGGCCACAGGCTGCATGTCCTCTCCCCAGCCAAGACGTCATTCCACACCCGTCCTTGTTTGGGGGAGGTGGGCCTCTCTCCTCTGGAGCTCCTTCTCAGATCCTCCAGTGCTGCTGGTCCTGAAGTAGGTTCTGGTGGGAGGGTATCTGCTGCCAGATGTGCCCGAGTTCTCTTTGCTGCAGGTGACATCACCATGGAAGGGCTGGACAAAAACAGGCAGCTGCAGACAGGCGAGATTATCATCATCGTGGCTGTGCTGCTCATGTGGGCAGGTGAGTGCCACAAGCAGCGTTCCAGCAGGCTGGGGCAGAGGTGCAGTCCAGGGTCCACGAAGAGGATGTGGCTCAAGAGAGCGCAAGGGCATCTTGGTGTGGGTCTGAATCCTTTCCAGTAAGCGCACTGAGTCTCTGTAGGAGCTTGAGCCAGTGGGGTAAAAGGAGCAACCACAGCCACTGCTCAGCAGTGATGGACTAGAGCACATGGGCTGGCTGGCCTGGCTGCTGTGCTGGAAGAGCAGGAGACAATGTGGGACCCAAGCAATACAGAATTACAGGGTGGGAGCATCCCAGCTGACATGAACTATATCACGCAACTTGGGCCTTCGCTAGCTCGCCTGACGTCTGATAAAATTGCCGCACTGGCTGGTAGTGGCTGTGCCTCAGTCTGCTAAAACTGTAAGATGGGCAATTTGCTCCTGTACAGCACCTGACTAAAGCCAGTGCTCTAGCAAACAGCAGGTTGCCCTGGGAGCAAGGAAGCCTAGGAGATAACAGTCAGCTCCTGACTGGTCACATGCAGCTGCTGTGAATGGGAAGTCATTTGTCCCCTACTCCCTTCCCAGTAAATGTGGATTTTCTAGTGGCATCTTGCAGGAATCTCTCCTTGTCCTGGCCTTGAACACTTTTCTAGTGCACTGGAAGAAAATGCAAGATGGCTGCTGCTAGCTTACACCTCATGCAGGTTGGTGTGTCAGAGTGCCAGCAGGGAGGAATCAGGTCCAGTCTGCGGGTGGCTGTGATAATGTGCTGTGGTTTGAATGGTTCCAGCAGACCTAATGATTACCATTCAGAACGTTGCTCCGGAGTCCTGTGTCCAGGATCCCAAGGTGCGGGACATGAGATGGGTGCTGTAAAACCATGATAGAGTGACTGACCCCACAGTCAGTTTGCAAGACAGGACAAAGCCAAGGGCGGGCTGTTGTGAGGGTCCCAAGCACTAGACCACTAACTTTAGTGCTGGGCTGGAGGCACTCAGAAACCCGCTCAGCTGCCCACTGACCTCAAGAGCTGTCCCTCTCCAAGTGCCTCAACATCTGCCTTTGGCCTCAGAGCCCTGAGCTGTAGGCACCGAGCACCTCACGTGTGCCCTGATGGCTTTAGCCGCATCAGTGCCTCGCCTGCCCAAGGAGACTGGCCTGGGCGCACATGCAGAGGTGCCTGGGGTGGCCCAGGCTGATGCAGGTGGAGGGGGTGGGTGACCAGCGCCTCAGGGTGCCCTGGGCCTGACTGCTCTCCAGCTGGGATGCTGTGGGGAGGGGAGGCAGGGGACAGCCAGTGTGAGGGAGTCCTTCATCCCCCGTCTTTTGGCAGCGGTGATCGCCCTCTTCTGCAGACAGTATGACATCATCAAGGACAATGACTCCAACAACAACAAGGAAAAGACCAAGCCGTCCTCGGAGCACAGCACGCCAGAGCGACCAAGCGGAGGGCTGCTGCGGAGCAAGGTGAGTGGGGTGGGCTGGCACGAGGGGTGGTGTACGACGTCTGCTGTGGCTTGCTGCCTGGACAGGTTCTGGCTCTCTCCAGAAACAGAAACACCCCATCTTATGCTCTCGCCCTAAAAACGGAGGGGTTTCAGGGTGTCCCTAGTCTCTCTGGGGCAGTGCGCGTGCCCCATGGGTGGCTGCAGGAGAAACATTGGAAGAGACGGCAGGATACATCAGCGGGGATGGCTCCCACGTTGCTGGGTGGTACCTGTCCTCTCACCGTTAACAGCCCCTTCGCCATGCCCCTCCAAGGCTGCACCGCTTCTGCATCCCGTAGACTGGTCTAGCCCCTGGCCTGTTCAGGCAGGAGGCAGACAAGCTGGGGCAGCTGTTCTTATGGTTCTGCACTGGTCTATCGCTGCTCACTCTCTGCCTTCACTGGGGCCTGCTGCAGGCCATCACCACACAAGTCATTCATGGGAAGGACCCTAGAGCCCCTTCCCCACCCTAACGGAGGTACTGTGCTCAGCTATGGATGGGGAGGGAGCAGTACTTTCGTCTGGCTGTTGCCTCAGCACCTGCCATTTCTCCCTTCGTTACTTGACAAATGATGCACATGCTCTAACGGGACCTTGCATTAGGTTTTCCCTTGTGTCTCCTCTGCCTCTTCTGTCAGTGGTGGGAACTCTGCTCACTCTCTTGCCTAACTGCCCCTCTGCTTCCACATCTTGGTTTCCAGCAGATGTCAGGAGCAGAAGCCTCCTGTTTGGACTTCAGGGCCCCAGTTCTCTTCCTCCAGATTTTCCAGCTTTCTGATTACTCCTTGCCAAAAACACTCCCTCCTCTTGGATCCCTGCTTCGAACTGACCCTGTTCATATAGGGCTGCAAAGGCCTGCTCCTGGTGCTTGCCAAGTTCACCTGTACAGGGCTGATGCATCTCACTTGGTCTTTTTGCATTCACCATGCTATTGGCATCCTTGCAGGTGACAACTGCAAGTTTATTCTTGCAGTCCTGTGTTACAAAGCTGGGAACAAGGTATAGGAAAGAAAAAGCTCTGCATTCGTTTCCCCTCCTGGCTTCAGGGACAAGGTGCTGTAAAGTAGCAGGCAACAGTGCAGCTCCCGATCTGAGACCTGTTATGAAGTGTGGTCATAGGGACGCTCGCCTCGTGCACCCTGCTTCTGTGTGCAAGGGCTGAGCTGCAAAACACATCTGCAGCAACCAGGGCCCCTTCCCTTTCCCAGCGCCTTCCCTGAATTCATGTATCTGCTGTGCTCTTCAATGAGCACATTCCTTTTAGTGTAAAGGAAAGCACCTGCTCGTGCTTGCAACAGTTTTTGAGAAAATCCACCTTGCCATCTGCAGCCTTCCGCTGCCTTGGCACACGCCAGAGCTGTCACGAGGGGCATGGCAGTGAGACGTGCCTGGCACTCGGCAAGCCTCGTGTGTCCCTCCACACCTGTCATCCCATGCTTTGTGGATTCTCTGCCCCATGGCAGGCGTCCTTCTACCCCCTCACTCACCTTTTCTGCTCTGACCCTGCACCTACCTCCTGTCCAAGGACATCAGGTGTAGCGTGGCTACCACGAGGGAGCAGATAGAAGTCACCAGACATCTGCAAGCCCTGGAGGCTGAAGAGTGTGGGGCAGGGCGGCTGGTTCACCCAGGAGAGCCCGTCAGTGCCAAAGGCCGGGGTTTCAGGTTAGCTCCCTTGGTCTCAGCGGGAGATGCTGAAGCCAGGT